CTTATCTGGTTGTCCTAATTGCTATTATGCATCAAAAGATGGGCACACTTCCGGCATCATCGTATGACCGAAGGATTGAACACAATTTCAGCACCATCAGATACCATTAGCCTCCCAAGCCTGAATAATTTTGTACGACTATGGTAGCCTCCACTCATCTCTGTTCTGCACATCGTACGTGCCATTACATAGCTGTAAATACCGTGTCATTTTATATCATTACTTGTGCACACCTTCACTAATGTCTAGCTATTCACCCACCTGGAATACCTGTGAAATCTTCTCTTATTCAGAGTTTTGTTGTCGTCCGCATTTTCTTTGACACTTTCCACTAGACTAATCAACTTCAGCGTAATACTAGTTAAACTACGTAGTCTTCTCGACCTATCGTGATCGCGAATTCGCATACCACACTACTGTCTACACACCTACTCAGCAACTGGCTTCGTTTAATGTTTTCGGATACACACACCTGGTAGATATCGTTTTCTCAACCACCGTTTGGAAATCTTTCGAAAGGTGTCCGTCTTATGGTTTTAAGCGGCGCAGTGCATACCTCGTACTCAGCATTCTACCGCTCAATCCTGTAACGCTTTCACAGGACTACTCATTTATAGGTTAATTGCGCACGTGATTAGACACCTTGACGCACCTGAAGTTTTCGTCACGAACTATCCATCAGACGTACCAACTTCCCCATCATCAACGTTTCGTTATGGCACACCCAGAATACAGGATCGATCAGAAGACATCTTCTGTCCCTCATCTTCACAAATGAAGCTTTTGTCCTCACACATCTCAGCCTCCATCGGATCCTTGGACGTCGTGATCGCTACCTAACGTTGGTACCGTATGAGAATCATGAAATGTTTCAACTCCTCCGCTGAGTGTTCATCTTTGCCTAATCATCAGTCAACAATTTACCTTTGTCACCTCACAATTGCTTTTCAATACCATACTACACAGTCTGCGCACTTCCACGATTAACCGCTTACATTGAACAAGTCAAGGATATCTTCAGGCCAACGGCATTAATCACTAAACGACTGCGCAGACGACTCCCCCGGCGCCAAACCTATGCTGTTCGTAACTTCTTGGTCTACTTGATACTCACTTACGCAACATGCATGAGAATATCTGTCAGTTTAGACACCAGGCACTATTCTCTGGTGTACTGTTTCTCCGTTTTAGATAATTTTTACCTGTGTCCACCCATCTCATGAGATTTGATCAAGTACATTTTTAGATTTTTAAATCTGATTTCATGCACTTTTTTGGCACAATCAGTTGAACTTGACCTAATTCTCTATGATAGAAAAAAACGACCTTTGGAAAAAGTGTGAAAAAGTGATGAAGAGTTAAAAACCAACAAACCGTTCAAAAGATTTCACATGTTCGGCTTTCATCGCACGCAACTTTCATATTTCCTCAAGCTGCATACTTCAGATATTTCTAGACGCTTGAAAAAGTTTCTTGAATCCAAGAAGAACTCTTCAAAAGACTGTTTAACAGAAATTTCTTCAGGCTCTCACTTTTCAGCATCCAGCAAACGTTCCATTTTCATTACATCTGTACATAGGGTGTATTTCAGGAGTTTTATATTGCAGAAGCCCAGTGGCTTAGTTTATCGCGTGGTTTTCGGGTCTGCTGAAAAATTCTTTTTAGACGTTTCTGATGCCTAACTTTTACATTTGACCCCCCTGTATATAACTTCCTCTCAGTTTTGCAAATTAACCCTACCTATTCATCCGTACATATTGTTTTACTCGTATGTAGGTCACTGTGTGACCCACTTGCCGTTATTTAGCGTGCTTCAACAGAAATGAATTCTTTCTGTTTCGTGTACATTATTAAAGGGACTTGTGTGCTAACTATCGACAATAATTCTGTAATGTTCATTCAGATTTAAACAGTCCACTGGTGATTAATGGCACATTTTTACTGTTGATACTGGCCATCACAGTTGAGATATGCAGCCGATTGTTTCATACACTTTATTGTTTACAAAGTAGTACAGCAGAACCTTTGATCAAAATCTTGTTCCGAAATCGGTGATCGTTATTCCTCTAAGCGTTGTTCAAAGACGGTTCCGTTGTGAAACTTGGAAGAGGGCATGATGATGCCACCTGTGTTAAACCCCTCTTAGCACTCGCTTCAGCTGCGTCACTGTGAAATAAACCAAGTAGTAAATCGGCTCGGAAATTGTCTACCGCTCTGCACCGTATGTACACGCATTCATCATCACCGGTGTGACATACGATTGCCTACTTCTCATGTCATGCTTGCACACCACGGCCAGCACTTGTGTGAACGCAGGTTATCGTCGACGGTTGCGTACGCAATGACCCAACAACATCAGAAGTACACAGCTTCCTTAGCTGTACCGCCGCAACCGCTGGTTTAACTACTGGGCTCGGCAGTCCACGCTGTTTGATCTTTGAGTTGGTTTCATTTCAGACTGGCACAGTAGCACAAGAAGACAAAACTTGTGGATTTAGGTCCTTCAAATGTACACTTGCGATATCGGGGGAGCTGTGAAAGACATCAAATAATGTAACACACACGTCGACACATGCGGTAACAAGACTGAAGGTTGCCTACTGTCGCCCTCCCAAGAGAAGGCTTTGTAGTGACACGTGGTTGTGTGATTTCTCTAAGAATCACTTTGGTTGTGTGTAGGCCATAAGGCATTTATATTATTTCAATGGAGATAGTTTGAAGACGGTAATTTTTCTCTGGTGTTAGCACAGTGCTGATGTGATTCTAGATCTGTCGCCACACATTCGGTCTGATTAATGCGGTCGTGATACGCTGTGAGCTACAAATCCGGATGGTATGCTGTCATACCGTTAGTTATCTTCAAAAACGCGGGAAACTAATAGGGCTTATAACCAGAACTGTTTGTGTTTCTTTCGTTGTTATTGCATCAATAACACCTGTTGAACTGTAATCTTCCTATATGTGCTTCAAAATAAGCAGGATGAAAGCGACCAAATGGCAGAGAAAGCTCTGTTCATTGCAAGTCATCGACTCATGTTACCACTTCACACAATGACAACTAATAACGAAAAAAGGATAGAGCGAATTAGATATTTGTCAAAACCACAGCCTGAAAGTGGATGCCACATACCAGTCCTTAGTAAGTTTTTCACGAAAGATTCGTTCTTGATGTAATGAAGTTCTGTCTACTGTAAGTCAAACTGATTAGATAACCCGAACAAAGTTTAGGCTGAGTTACAATTTCTCCATTCTCAGTCTTATTTCTCCTATAAGTTGATTGGTTCATTTGATATTGATTTTTTCATTTACCCTCATTATACTTTTTTGTGTTGTTCTTCTGTTTCAGGTTATGAGATGTGCGAGTGGTATATCGCGTGCATTTACCGAAAAAATAAATAGTCGACATGAAATTGAATGCTGTACGCGGTTACAGTATAAGCGTAGTTATATTAACATAAGACGTACACATTATGATTTATTTTTATCATGGCACATAAAGTTTTGCCATTGATTTGGACCTGTTCAATGATTACACAGGTAGATATTTCAGTGAAGTGAATCTGTCTTAGGATTGGCATGGAAGATTATTCCAGGCAACTTGTTAGTCTCCATGCGTGCCCTCTTGAAAACATTTGGGGGCTTTTGAAATGAGCGCTTCAAGTTTCATTTTCAAGAATAATGATCATACGGAATTGCATGGCTATTCACGTCAAACAAGAACGCATGCGAGAATGATTAATGATGAAATGATTTAGCGAAACCTACCACATAACGACAGTGACCCATCAGTTGTGGGTTATATCGGGCTCGAACTACATTGGTGGTTAAAGTAAATAACCATGAATGTTAGGAAACCGTTTTCAGCTTACATTTTTATTGACCGACTGGGGTAGAATTCCCGCTAGAGTCAGTCCGACTTTGGGTTTTGTTGCACGCCTACTCGAATCAGGTTGCATACCAACTCTTGCCGTAGCCCGGCTCACTCCATACCGGAGTCGGGGTGCTTCATGAACCTCTTTAACTCAATGCTTTCTGTCAGTTAATTAAGTTTTAAATTGCGGAGCCTTAAATGTGGTGGTTTCCTACGGAATTTTGGACAATACGGTCACTCCCTATATACTACACAATCATCATTCCGAGTGATGCACTGTCTGCGATATCATAGCATGATCGTACATATCTTCACTACCGTGGGCCAGACAATCTAAGGATATGCAACAAACGTGCTGAAATGTCCGTCCAACACAATACAGTCACCGAATCAGCTCAAAACATAGGGTCTTTGAAACAAAACTTCGGACCACAACGTGTCGTTTTGACAATACAAACGGCAGTTAAGGCTGCGCTCAGCTCGGGTCAGGAAATGACGGCTGAGTTGAGAAGCGCCACCTGAACCTTCGAAACGAGTAGGAACTCGTTCCACTGTCATCACAGAAGCAAACGTAGGCAACTGCACCAAATCTCGTCCCAGATGTGTCATATAATACATACAACCCATAGTTACTTTTCGCAAACTGATTGGGTCTTCCGTATTTGTGGATCGGCATTTTACTAACCTTTTTTAAATGTTCTAACCAAATGTGCCATTTTGAGCGATCGTCTGTATTGTGGGGATCGCCCAATTTCAGCCTTTTGCGTTGCATCTCTTGCAATATTATCATTCTTGTTATTAATCATGAAGCAACGAACCATAGGGGATCGCACAGGCTACAGACAACAAAAGAGAATGTCTAATAAGTAGTTTGGCAGATTTGATAATTTATAAGAGATCAACTTGCGAAAAATCTGGACTTCGGCTGGATTCGAACCGGTGACAGAAACACAACTTATCAGTAATTCAATGTCAATGCTCATCGGTGGCGTTGGTGGATTCCAGCGTGAACTGATCGAGAGATCCTGCTTGAGTAGTCAATCGGCTGGATCATTCGGTGGATTCCATATGACACAGTTGGTTGGGTGGGCAACTAGGTCCAAGTGTGAAATTTCTGAGCTTCCGGCGTGGCTTCGTAGCTCAGCTGGTAGAGCGCTTGCCGTTTCTGTTGCTGGTTCGAATCCAGCCGAAGTCCAGGTTTTTCGCAAATGGATCTCTTCTACAGAGAGAATGTATTTCTGGAACCATCACAGTAGGCGTCGCGTCCTTCTGTAACTTTCTACTATAGATTGCTGTCCACTTGAGATTCTCGATATCTATAGTTCGTCAATAGAAATCGAAGACTATTTAGAACGCTTCGAAATATAATGTCTCACGGGCAAATAACTGAAAGCGGAAAAGAAGGTCACTCACTTCCTCACCGTAATTGGCATAGATGCGTACAGCTTGGTGAAAAACTTGTCACTTGCTGATTCACCAATTTTTCTTTCTTATAGATCCTTGAAGAAACTTCTGATTTCACATGTCCAACCTGTAAACTTTGAAGCAGCTGAACGAGCTAAACCTCATAAGCTCGTGAGGAAAGAAAATCAGGTTTTGGACAGTTTATTCTCGAATTTCAGACTCAAGCTGCTCGGTGTAATTTTGAAGATCAATTACAGACCCAACTCCGCAACCGTTTGATTGCTGGAATAAATTTGCGTGATCTAGAACAGACGCTTTTATTGCTTCCGAATTCCATTTTCCAGTCAGCTAGAACACTATGCGAACAGTATCAGGATGTTAAGGCTGCTGTTAAACATGAATCGCTGGTTTTATACAACAACGTGAGACGATCAGAAGGTCAGAAAAGGCGGCTGTCTGAAAAAGTAAATACTGGAAATGCAATTGATGATAATCGCCCTCCACCTAATTTAATTGCTACCCGACGTTGAAACAGCTATAATTCATGTGGTAGCAAACACTCTCGATTGACTTGTCGATTTCGTAACGCCATGTGTCACAGGTGTGGTAAAATCGGGCACATTCAATCCATTTGCCATAGTTCAAAGTCTTCTTTTACACATTCCAGTTGTGACGATGATAATTTGAGTTCTGACTTTCATTCTATTGTTCTTGCTGTTAATTCTGTTGATTTCACCAGTCACATTAAACAAGCCTACCTGGTTATTAATTGCATTGAACATTCATTTATTGTGGACACTGGTAGCGTTGAGTCATTTATCCTTGTTTATTTCGTAAAGTGCCTGAAGACGGCAGTTATAAAACCTTCCAAAGTTTCTGTGAATGGTATCACCGGACATGCTTTAGAAATTCTTGGTTCTTATCAAATCACACTTTCTGATGTTCATTCCAGTTTAACTAGTTGCCATTTTTTGGTTATTGATCGTGGCCCATCGATCATTGGTTTGAAAAATATGAAATTGTTGAACGTTTTTGTTTCAATGTTCTCGGATGCACGTAAATCACAGATGCGCAATTTACTACTTCAGTGTTCGAACGCTTCTGGTGGTATGCGTATTAAACCAGTTTCACTCGAATTCAAAGGCAATCCGATCTTTATTAAGCGACGTGAACCTGTCGGGAAAGCGCTCGACCAGCTTATTGAGAAAAGGATGTTAGCACCCTTGCGATCTTCGG